ATGTTACACGCCATGGCAAAAGGGGATCTATCGCACATGAAAAAGATTATATGCACAAATCTCACATGGCTACCTAATCACCCAATCATGTATTCCAATTTCATAAAATTCGATGCATGGAAATTGTAATCGAAGAGCAATCAGGTCAAAACATCCTTTCATTTTCGCACGCATGAGAACTAAACATTTACATCATCCTAATGCAATTCTCAATCATCATAATAGGATGCACTCGATACCAAGTAAATAATCCAAGATCAATCCCAATAAATAAGAGATCATCCAACAATCGGCCACAATGAACATGCAATGCTTGGAGCCCTCAAATTTTTAAAATTTGGGCATACATCAAGGCTCCAAGCAATCAATCACACGCACAAGCATAATAGATAGACTACCCTCTCCACACTTAAGCTCGAAATTTCCCTCAATGGCGTAAAATAAGGGGTAGAAAGAATTTGGACGGAGATGAAGGGGAGAGATCTTCAACGAGACAAAAACAAAAACAACCACACACATGCTCGCGCAAGGCGAGGTTATTGCACAATAATATTACTTAACATAAAAATAAACACAAACCTACGTTGGGTTGCCTCCCAACAAGTGCTACTTTTACGTCATAAGATATACGGTTGCTCCTCAAGCTTCGGTCCATCCAAGAACCTCCTTGAAGTTGAGGTTCTCGTAGGTGAGATGAAATCTCAAGTCGAGCATTGGACGAGTCCATGATTGAGGGCTCGTGAACTTGATAGACTTTAAGACTCCACCCACGAGACCTCTTCTTCTTCTTTCTCTTTGCCACACACCATCTAGTCCATCATTGATTGACTTCCATCGCATCCACCAAGAGGGATCGTCGATGGTTTGGCCTTGGCTTGGAAAAGAGCCACAAATGGGTCATTCTCCAAAAGCATGTCAAGGTCGGGTAGTAAGCATTGGTAGCACTTGTAACTCGTGGATGCTTCATCCACCCCAACCTCGTCCTCATCTTGGACACCACTCGCTCCTTCTTCTTCTTCCTCAACCTCCCTTCCTTCTTCTTCACTTTCCTCCTTTTGGGGACAATCAAGATCTTCTCTTTCTTCAAAGCTCAAATATTATATAAAACACAAAATCAACACAATAGAATCAAGTTTTTATATCCTAACATACATCTAGACGAGGATTCACAATACCCAAGCGAGTAGGAAGGCTAATCCATAGCTACGCAAAGGAAAACAACAAAAGGGAGAGAGAACCATGGAGAGATGAAAATTTTCCTTCCTTCTTGCTTGAATCTCCCTTGAGAAGAAGAGATCTTCAATCCTCTAGCTTGAATTGAGCCAATCTCCTTCTTCCTCCTTTGACTGACACTTTCTCTCTCTAGAATGGGAAGAGGAAACCCTAATCTCTCACTAGAAAACCGTCTTTATTCTGTAAACTAAAACCCTAGAAAAAGCTCTCCTTCTTCCTCCTTTCAACTCTCTATTTATACCCAGTCGTGCCCAGTTCACGGTCGTGAACTTAAGGCTTAGACCGTGAACTAACCCCAATTCGTGCCGTTTCATTTAGCAACTTCACGGTTTACGGCCTCACTTCACGGTCTTGCAACCGTGAACCGATAATTTGCCAGTAACCTGTAGAACCTCTCTAGAAGCACGATGGTTCACGGTCTCGGGGACTGTGACAATTGCGTTCAAACCTGAAGCTTGTAATCGACCTTCCCACACGTGCTAGGACCTGAAATATGACAAAACAAGCACACCCTAGCGTAAAATAGGTCGAGAGACGATGAAATGCAAAGCCAAACTATCAAGAAATGAGGGGTGAAATGTGTACAATTGGACCCGAATCAGTGCGTCACTCCAATAGGATAAAAAATGAACGAACTCAATTGATTGTGTTTTGTGGTTGTACACTGCAATCGCGCAGTTCCGGTTTGAACATGCCACGAATCACATAAAATGTAGACCGCCAAGTTTGATTGTGCGATTTGCTTTGATCGTTTATGAAATTTGATTAGATTTGGTGCAGTCTGGCCACACCAATGTCCACCTCTACCTATAGTAATCTAGTTGATTGAAATCTCATTTTTTTGTGTTATTTTTTTATCTTTAGCTTCTCTTAAGCAAAATGGTGGCATGATCAGCCAACGTTTGCGCCATTTTACCTCTCGAGTAGGTCACTCTCAACCCCAACAACTCTTTCAATGTTGGTTCGACCATGCAGCTATGAGTGTGGTCTGATTCGAGATCACACAGGATGTTGTCTTTCATGGTACATGATTAACCTGAGGATTTGCTCTATCACCCATGCATAGTTGATAGGCACTGTTCAAGGGCTCCAGTTGGCTTGGGACATGGGGTATCGTCGTGTCCGAGTGGAGCTTGATTCTCTTTTTTGCAATCCAACTTCTCTAGAGCACATGGACGATGGCCACCAGCACACAACTATTAACTAGAAGATTCAAAAATTGCTCACTCATCGATGGGAAGTTCACCTTTCCCGTATCTTTCGAGAGGCAATAAGTGTGAGGATCATCTAGCCAGTCGCTGCCAATTGATTCCCATGCTTTGTCGAATTCGCTATCTCGCTCTGTTTCATTATATTGTGTATAACTGTTAATGAATTTTGGAATTCCGGTTGGTTTTGAATGAACGCTGAGATGCGATTGCATCCGTTTATAAAAAAAACAAGGGCAATGTCTATTTTTTACCCAAACCTTTTCAAACTTCTTTTATTTTACCCAAACCTATCAAAATACTATGAATTAACCAAAACGTTAACTCATCGTCAACTTTTCCGTTAATATTGCTCACTCAACATCACGAATCTGAGTTGGCTTCTGACGTGGCGGTCAACATATCATTTTATATTTTAATTAAAAAAATAATAGAAACAAAAATTAATAAAGTGAGTCGCCGTCCACGGCACCCTCCTCTCCTCCTGCTACCGCCGAGCCCAAATGTGAAGGAGAACACAAGGGGCATCGCCGCCTTGCCTCTGAGCCAAGGAGGAAGAAGAACGACGGGCAGCTTCATCGGTCGATCTCGCCAGCGCCGTAGAGACCGATCTCCTCTCTAGCCGGCGAGGAATCTCTATGATTCAAGTGCTCATACCCCTGCCGCTAGTTCGCGAGTCCAGGGAGGTAGGAACTAGTTCGCCCATCTTCAATTTTAAGGTTTGCGGAGCCATCATCGACCAACTCCTCCCAAACCGGTATAACAAGCATCGCCCTCAGCCTGAAATTTCACCCCGCCGCATCTTGCTCTCCGGCTTCGGCATCTTGAGCGCCTCTGACATTCAATTGAGGAAGCGGAGGTAGGACCAGAAGTCCAAAATGACGACACATGTGACCAAGGCACCGTCGACGTTGGTGGGTCTGGTGCGAAGGACCTTAGAGAGGAGAAGAAGAAGGTCTGTATCTAGATCTCTCTCACTCTTCCCCACTCTGCCTCCCTAACTCTAAGATTAGGGATTTTAATTGGAATTAGGGTTGGGGGAAGGAATTGAAATTAAGAATTTGGGGAAATTTGACTGGCTGGGAAAGGAATGAGGTCTGTGCGATAGCAGCGTTGATCCTACACGAGGTGTTCCAGTCTAGGCCGAGCCGACTCAGATCCATGTTCAAGGAATAATCGTAACGGTTTTGTGGCAAGATTGGGGGTTGCGATTTTTTGGGTTTCAAAGGTCTGGTTCTGTGAGGAAGAAAAGGTTGGAGGAAGAAGATTATAGCAGCGGTGCCGGAGAAAGGAAGGGGCGAGCTCCTGGTTTCACCAGCAATGGTTGCGGAGAACTGAGGAAGAAGAAGCTTAGGGAGTTGGTCGGACGAGTTCTGTTTTTTTTTTCTAAATTAAAATTGAAATTGAATATGTATTCATTTCTGACGTGAACGCTGACGTGGAGGTTCGTTACGAAATAAGTAACGGTAATAGAACGAATGCCCAGACTTTGATCAGTTACAATAAGTTTGGATAATAAATATAATTTTGATAGGTTTGGGTAAAATAAAAGAAGTTTGAAAAGGTTTGGGTAAAAAATAGACATTGCCAAAAAAACAATTATTAAACATTGAAGCGAGATGATGAGTCGTGCATACAATTACCAAAACAGCAGAGACCAAGGAAAGGAATCCAATTAGGCGATACATAGATATATGGTATATCAGCTGAGTTGCATGCCACTATTAATTTTCTTCCATTTATATGTTTATGAGATTTCCCATTTCCAATTCAACCTCCATCAATTCCTTTCCTTCTTTCCCTCTATATGGTCTCTCTTCATTCTTCCAAACAAATCCACACACAAAACAGCTCAATAGAACAACCTCTCCGCACATAAAAAGGCTTCTATTGTGTGGGTTTGATTTGATGAGAAGTTGCAGTTAGGTGCGAGTGCGACGATGATGACGATGAAGCAGAAGGATCATTCGGATCATAGGTATAAGATCATTGGTTACTGGGTTCTTCCCATCTTCCTGTTCCTGTTTGTGTTGCTCATCATCAATCCGCCGTCTTTTACTCATTTGTGGTCGAGCTACTATTGGAATTGGTCACCGTCTTTTGCAGGTGTGTGCGCACTGCTTTTCTCTCTCGTTGTTTTGGCTCCGCTATTCAAATTAGGATTGTCGTAATCGTCCGACTCGATTTAATTTAATATAGTGTGTGACAAATCGAAATATTGACTACATTAACGATAAGGTTCATGAATGCATATTTTTAAATTAAGAGTAACAAAATAATATTTACCGATAAGTAAGGGTGGGCAACGATCCGGTTCATACCTTGGATCGAATAGATTATTTTTCGATTCGGTTTTGTTTCTATGAATTATTTTAAGTATGATGAAGAAATGAATCGAAATTGAATTTGAACCAAACATAATCAAACCAAATTAGTCTCATTTTAGTCATCATTTTTCCTTTATTTTTTGTTGGATTTTAAGTCAATTCGACCCTTTTTGAACCGGTCAACCGATACCCAACCATACACATAACACCATAATTTAGAATTGATAGTGCAATGATTTTTTATGATTATTTTGATTGTACAATTTCAATTCATCCAAACTCCTCCAAGTTTCTTCCTCCGAAGAAAAGGATAAAGAGAGGAAAAGAGCTGGAACGGCAAAATAACTCTTCTCCTGTCCTTTCATTCTGTTTCCGGAAAACAGGATCTGAGTGGGGCCCGCAATCTCAGCCAGCTGTCAATCCCTCTCCAGGAATCACCTGCGATAGGTCCCACAAATCATACGACTTCTGCACAATCGACGGGCCCACGGTCCTCGATCCCGCCACCTCCACATTCCACGCCACCGGCCCATCAGCCGTCCACAGAATCAAGCCTTACCCAAGAAAAGCAGAGGCCCACACAATGAAGCGGATCCGAGAACTGACCCTGCAGTCCGGCCCAACAAGCCCACAGTGCCAGATCCAGCACGGCGGCCTCCCTGCCGTCGTGTTCAGCGCCGGAGGGTACACCGGGAACTTCTTCCACGATTTCAGCGAAGGATTCATCCCTCTCTTCGTCACCGTCAACGCCCTCTTCCCCTCCGACCGCGACATCGTCCTCGTCGTCTCCGAAGCTGGCGATTGGTGGATCAGGAAATACGCCGACCTGCTCCGCTCCTTCACCAAGCACCCAATCGTCGTGATTGGAAACGGCACGGCGGCGGCGGAGACGCATTGCTTCGGATCCGCTACCGTCGGGCTGATCTACCACGGGATGGCCACCGTGAACCCCAATCTGATGCCGGGAGGCCAAAACCTCACTCAATTTCGCCTCCTCCTACAAGAAACCTACGGCGGAGGCGGACGGACTGGGATTCAAAATTGGGCGGAATCAGGGCGGCGGCGGCCGAGGCTGGTGCTGGTGGCGCGGCCGATGGGAATCGGCCGGGGATTGCTCAACGAGCAAGAAGTGAGGGCGGCGGCGGAGAAGGTTGGGTTCGAGGTGGTTCGATTCTTGCCTAGGGGAAACACGACGCTGAGGGAGGCTTTTGCGGTGATGGATTCGGCCGACGCGATGGTCGGGGTGCACGGCGCGGCGATGACCCACCTGCTGTTTCTGCGGCCGGGGGCGGCGTTCCTGCAGGTTGTGCCGCTCGGGACGGAGTGGGCGGCGGAGGTGTGCTACGGGGGGCCGGCGAAGGCGATGGGGCTGGAGTACGTGGAGTACCGGATCACGGTGGCGGAGAGCAGCCTGGCGGCGAAGTTTGATCCGGAGAGCTTGGTGCTGAAGGATCCGCCGGCGTACCGGGGGAAGGATTGGTCGAAGATGTGGGTGTACCTGAGGGAGCAAAATGTTCGGATTGATTTGGTTAGGTTTAGGGAGTATTTGGAGACAGTATATGAGAAGGCTGAGAAGTTTATGAGGAAGAATGGGTAATGTATTTTTTTTAGTACAATTTTTTTGCTTATATGATACCAAAGTTGTAGAGAGTAGAAACTATGGACTCCATTGAAATTGCATCTAGGATTGTGCTACAAGGATAGAGTAGCAAGAGAAAGTGTTTGATTAGTTGCTAGATGTTTGGTGTGTTAAATTTGTTAGGAAAATTATCATATTATATAAATTTTACATCTCATTATCTAATTGGACCTGTTATTAGTATAATTAAATCAGTAACAAACCCAAAAGATTGAATTAGGAGTAACTTTTTATGTGATATAGACATATAAATAAATATATTTGAAATACATAATTAAAAATTTGATATCGGAGTAATTCATACCTGAAAAAAGAAATAACCAGTTGATATAAGTTTCATTTGTATAAACAACTATTAGAAGTTTCCAATTTTCATATCGCGAGCCATAAAAATTTTCATTATATATACTCTCAAGTAAGTGTTGATATGTTTCATTAAGTTTATTTTACTGTCTATAAACATTCTCGCATTAACATAGAAGTCTAGTATTCGAATTTCATATATATACTTTTGTGGTGTATCGTACTTTAAGTGTCAACTCATTAATGAATTAGCACCATACTAACCACACTTTCAACCAATAGATGTAAAATTAATCTAATGATTAAAACTCATCCTCACATCAAACCCCTAATATGTATGCAATCTTACTCTCCGAAACAATACAATCGTTCCTTTGCATCCCCTATCTCTCATAACCCTTCACCATCTCTCTCCCTCAGCCGTCGAGATATGCTCTCATTGAAACCACAAGAATTATCATAACAAAGGAGAAGGAAGTCAATGCCTTCATGGATAAGAAGGACCAATATCCTTGTCCTGAATGGTGGCCCCGACGACCAAATTTTACCAAAATTTGACGGTCAATGCTCCATTTTTTACCCTTCCCAAAGAAACTCCATTTTTATAGTTCTAACAATCTTACACGAGTTTCTAAAAGGTATGAGGGAGAAGACCATATATTTGTATTCACCAAAATTTCACTAAAATTACTCGTCTAGTAATGGCATACTCTCTTATGCATATATGTATTCAACTTACTTTGAATTGTTAGTTTTTGTGTTGATATGTGACCTAGGGAGACTAATGTAGCATTATGGATGATGTTGGTACATAAGAAAAATATATTGATCATTCGAAATGTGTTGGTTAATATGAATGCTTGTATTTTAGGACTCTTTCTTTGTGCAGTTTTGAGACAAATATGTGATGGATTCAAAAGCATTTTAAGAACTCAAAATAAAAACTCTTTCCTCACAACTCTGGAAAAAAAAAATCAATGCAAAAAGTGCTATTGCTTCAAATAGAGTGTAGGATGAACAAACTTTCGAGTCACCCCAAATTTGTGATCCTATATGATTTGGTGGTGTTATTTTATGTCAAAGAGACGTTGCACTTGCTCCCTCCATTTTTATTCATTTATGTTTAGTCAGTAATAATCAAACATCGAACCAGACAACTTATGTATGGATATGACGCAATTTTTAGGTAACTTGGTTTTGCTTTCCCCTACTATTTTATTTGGCCCAATAAGGACATTGTCCAATTTAAACTGTGATGTATGTTTAGCAATTTCTATACATGCCTATACCTCCATTAAAGTCGAGTTTTATTATACATTTGGGGACATCCCTATTTGTGCTATGTGTAAAATTTTAAAAAATTTTAATAATGTCACACCCTCTTATGCATATATGTATTCAACTTACTTTGACTTGTTAGCATTTGTGTCGATACGTGGCCTAGGGAGACTAGTGTAGCACTATGGATGATATTGGTACATATTTTTATAATAACCATTCATAATGTATTGATTAATATGAACACTAGTATTTTTAGGACTCTTTGTTTGTGCACCTTTTAGACAAATATGTGATGCATTCAAAAGAGTTTTAAGAACTTAAAAGAAAAACTATTTCCTCCCAACTTTGGAAAATAAAACATAAAATCAAAAAGTGAAATAGCTACAAATAGAGTGTGAGGTAATCTAACGAAATATCACACATAATGTGCCAATCGATTAAACACTTAAGCCAACCTCTTCTATAAGTATGAGAGTGTGTCGTTTGAGAATTATTTCTAAAAGGCACATACAGATTTTTTTGACTCCACTCTACATTGCCTCTCCACATGGACTTGATAGATAAGAGACAATTACATTTGTTCAAGTCACGAGATTGTAACTTCTAAAAAATCTCTTAAAATTTTCCAATGTAAAACGTTCAAGAAAAATAGAAGGGGAAAAAAGTTTCAAAAGTTCGAAAAAAGTGGAGTAGTTAAGAAAGAAGAAAGCTCAAATAAATGTACAAAAACCTTCGGGGGTGGCAGTGGTTTTCGGAATAACCGCCGAGTTGGACGGCGGTTCAAGAGTTTGGGTGATAATCGCAGGGGGGAGCTGCGTTTCAAATGAAAAACCGATGCCCCTTGTGCGGTTATGTATTTTTTTTCAAAACCCAGTTAGTCTAATGGATGGCTGGAATGAAGATGGATTTGGAACAATGCCACGGGCAGGGGCGGACCCAGGAGGTTTAGGTGTGTTCCCGGACACCCCTAAATTTTGGGAAAACGATTATCCAATTTTCGGTGGTAATTTACGTATGGACAAAAAAAATATAATTGATAGTGAGGGACACCCCTTAACTTTGAAAAAATGATTATCCTACTGTCATTTGTGTATAGGAATATAAGTGATAGGTTGGATAATTCAAATCTAGAACACTATTATTATTAATAAACTTAATTTCTGTTGAGCTAAACTCATTTGTTGTTCTATTTTGAACAATGTGTAATAGTAAAATGGCATTCCCTATCTCTAGTTATTTTAAAAACCTAATAATTAAACTAATTTCAAACTACCCTTAATTTGTATTGATTTTATGATTGTACGGCAAGTGTTGAAAGAGTCTTTCAGCTTTGGGTTACATCAAGAACAAGTTTACAAATCGAATATGCGATAAGTTCGTGAATGATTGTCTAGCTAGCAGTGTATATAGAGACAATTTTTTTAAAACTATAGACACCAAGTGTATTCTACAATTATTTCCGAATATGAAAACATATCATGGACTTTTTTAACCTATACGAGTAAGGTATTTTCATATTTACAATTTATTTTTATCAATTATTTTTATTTTTATTTAATTATTTTTAAAAGAAGACACCCCTATGAAAAATTTCTGGGTCCGCCACTGGCCACGGGAGATGTTTAGGTATAGTGTCCTCGTGACCTCCTAAACAAAATACATGCATGTGGTTGTTAATCGCGTCTTTAATTAAACCGATCCAATTATTAACGAGTGTAAACAAGAATTATTATTAATTAAAATAGTTAGTAAAATACGGTACAAGAAAGTTACGTAAAAAATACATACAAGTATTTTACCTTTTTCTAATTTAATATTACGTTTAATAGTAAATAAATATATAAATTAATAGTAAAGTTAACAATTTAATTCATTAAATACGGATATTAAAAGTGTTATACGAGTTTTATATGTGTTTAGTACGGGAGCCATCAAATGAACGTAAAAAATGAAACGGCTTCACAATAATACGGATATGAAAGTTTTAAACGGATAAAATACGTACGGGAACATATATGTGTATTAAACGAAGTATTTACTAACTATTAGTTATTATTATTTTCCTTCAATCCTACTTCGTGTGTACAAACAAACATGGAAAAGGGTGAAAATAAAAGTGATACCAATTAAGAAGATTAATTAAAGACCCAATACCCTCAAATCATATATTCATCATAATAGGCTGCATGTATTTTGTTTGGGAGGTCACGAGGACACTAATCCCTCTCCATTTCTGCCATACATTAGACTAATTGGGTTGATAAAAACAACAATAATAACTGCACAGGGGGCAGCGGTTTTCTGGAAAATCGCTAGCACCCCCGACGGTTCTTGTAAAAACCGCGCCTCCAATCTGCGGTTTGTGGAAAATGGCGGTATTTTTGGAAATTTTCAGAAACGGGTTGTATTTTTAAATGTTTTTTTGTGATATTTTTGGGGAAAATCCTACAATTTTAAGTATGATTTGCTTGAGGACAAACAAAATTCAAATGCCATGTTATTAGATGAGACATAAAACATAATAAACATTTATATACTCTCATTCCATGGCTTGTTTCCCACATTTTCTACATATATTTGGTCATATTGAGTTGAATTTGCTCGGTAATTGTACAAATTATGTGTTTAGTAGCTTTCATGGATTTTTTATACTTTTTTTTTGGTACAAAGGGGCGCTCAACGCCCAAGGTTAAGGGGGAACAAGCCTGGGAGTTTGACTCCCTACTAGGTCGAAGAAGAGCCAATAGTGAAGTTGAGGGCTAGGGGTAGAGATCAGGTGCAACCCCAGCGGCAAGGTGTGCCCCGTTGACGCCACGAAATCCGCTACGACGTTGCCCTCTCGGAAAGTATGCTCCGCCCGAACCTCCCACTCCTCTTGTATCATCTGACGCACTTGAAGCACCAGTCGGTAGTGGGGATGCGACCTGGTGGCCGAATCAACCAGGTCAATAGCCACCCGAGAGTCCGTCTGAAGGATCACCTTCTTCACACCCAACGCCCATGCCCGCTGCAAACCTTGTAACATCCCCATTATCTCTGCTCGAGTAATTGATCCTCCTCCTATATTCATCGTGAACGCACCCAGGAAGCGTCCTTGATCATCTCTAATCACCCCTCCAGCCGTCGAGCTTTGGCTAGCAAGCAACACGGATCCGTCTGTATTGACACTGCACCATCCTGCCGGTGGTAAGTTCCAGCCTATCATCTTCCACTCCTTTGCTTGTTTCCCATCCAAATTCAAGTTATCTCCCAACAAAGCATCCGCGATCTGTCCTTGTAGCTTACGGTTCTTCCAAATGAGCCAACAAACGACGGCAAACATTGAGGCATCCACTATAGCGCTTTTCCCTTTTAAGAAGTACAGGAATCAATTC